AGAGTGTGACGCAAACATAACACAATTATTTTCTCATACCCCACATCTGTGATAATTAGTGACCTTATCGATTCCTTGGCTACATTTAGTTCACTTGCCGTCATTCTGAGTGACAGTCGGTGGTCTTTTGCAAGTAAATTTGTTCACTTTGTCCACTAATTCGGGAATGGAGTTCGTTTTCGGTTTTCCACTGCTAGGTTCATCTTCCAAATTATCTCTGCCCTTCTTGAAGGCTCTGAAACCATAGAAATGTTTTTGCTCGGGACAGATCCTCATCCTCCTAAGCTGTTAAAGTGGAACTCTTCCCCAGCTTTACACGAAACGTGATGATGAAACTTTCAATTGTGCGGTTTCTAACAACGCAGTAATAAACAATGAACAAAGCAAGTCCATACGAAACAACAACGCAATCCCAACTGTTGCGGTTGGCTGCACTGCCAAGGTCAAACTCCAGTGCGTCTGTAGCGGTCTCTCGCGGAACGATGCTCATATTATACACTTTAATTTTCTTTCAGTTTCATTACATTTTTGCATTTAAGACGAGTAACGCGTTATTAGGAGGTTTACAGACTGGTCGGTATTTGAAGCCAGTACTTCCCTTCCCGAGTATTGCCACTACATTAACACTCTCGATGGTGAGGACCAAAATCGAGTGTCAGCAGTACTCCTGTTGTCTGCCCGTGTAGCAGTTATCATAGGGGTATCGTGCGTCAGTAAATAATTATGTTTTATTTCTAATCGCGATAATTTTTAATTAGTTGCGGATAACTGGAAAGGCCCCTCCATCGTATTCGGGAGTCTGTGTTTCGAAACTTTTCCCGAATCTATTCCGTCAACTCTGCAGTGGTATTTCTCTGTTCCTCCAACAAATTTCACTTTAGTACTTTACAGCAATTTCTTTCTTACTACTATTTGTAGATTGTCTTATCGTCGTTTTTCATTTGGCAATATGTGTCTTTAACCGAGTTTCATTACACAAACGTAAGACAAGTTGGGTGAAAAAGGGTCGTAACCTCTACATTTGCTTGAAAGGACCGAGGAAAACTACGACAAATCTAAATTGGCACAGTTTGGCTTACGTAATCGAATGAGGTTTTCCGCGAGTAAGAAGTTCGTAAGAAACAGTAAATCGGTTTATGAATTAAACAGTGTGTGTTTATGTATATAATTAACAGGAAAAGGAGAAACTTAGTGCATGCATCATGGCATATCAAAGTAGCCTACCGGAGTTCTCAAAACGCATGATTCACAATGTGAATACAATATATATATATACTATATTGTTCAGTGTGTCCCACTTAACACAGAACCCATCATGACGTCATTCAGGGTTTACAGCTAGCGAACTGCTGGAAAATGAGGTAATAGCAACGCAGAGCATGGCCGCCGCATGACACATGAATTACGTGGGCGTCTCTGTATGTCGTCAGCATTTCTATTTACTTGCGATTTTGTGTCTTTTTTCACTTAAAATAAATAATTTGATACATCCGTTTCATAATTTTAGTGTCTTTTTCATTGCGTATTTCAGGAGGATATCAAATATTACACGAATTACTCTGTGTTTTCAATGGAACAGTTCTGTTCACGTATCACAAGGCGTCCTTTTAATGGGCCCACTGGCTGTTACAGTACGAAGCTTAATCGCTCCAAACATGTTTTGTGTTTCAGAACAGGGCTCCCTGACCATCGTGCGTCGGAGCAGTACCAAGAAGAGCCAGAACCACACCGACACAGTGGCTGGCTATTCTTCCTCGTTTGCTGACGATGAAACATTGGATGCAGTTGATCTAGACACGGACAACCTACCTGCCGTAGACACGCCAGACGCCTGCGACAAAGCAGCTGTCAGGTAGCCCCAAGATTCTTATCACAAAAACCTTAAGTCAGTTCAGTTCAGTTTGTATTTTCATAACCCATAATATCTACATCCATGTTGCTATCTTCCTCTTCCTTCCAAGCGATTTAATTTTTTTAAAAAAAAAGTTTGTGTACTTTTTTGCATTTCCACGCACTTAAATTTCTCGACGATCTTATTTTTCTTGATTTAATTCTGTTCATGAAACTGCATGTACCGTATGAACTGCAAAGCTTATTATCATGTAATTACTCCAATCCCATGTCATTTCCGCCTAGTTTTTACCTCGCCGCTCTCAGTGTAAGAGGCCAATTTTACACTTATACGTATGCACTCTCACAGGCAAATGATATGACTAATCACATAAACAGACACCTACTGCATATACGTGAGCATTCACATACATACATCCGCACATGCATGCACCCATATATATATATATCACTTAAACGTACATCTTCCGTAGGTACATACGTAGAAAGATACGTACGTATTTAAATATATACATACATACGTACAAACTTACATGCACTCACGCAAACACGCATACAGGCATTACATACACGCACAGACTCATAGGTGTAGGTACATATGCTCACACATACGTGCGTACGTAAATTCTCACATACATATCTGCATGCGTACGAACGTGCACGCATATGAAGACATACACATAGCCTACATGATATGGAGAAGTGTGTGTAAAACTGCAGTAGTTTACTGTAATGTAGAATACATTTTTAATAACTATTCCGGCGTTCACATTGGTTCAATGGGAAAATAAATGTATATATTTTGTGTCACATGTAATCTTCAGTAGTTAATTACCTGCAGTTTTAACTTCAGCCTTATTACATAAGTCATTCGTCTGAAATTCTGCATACAGAAAACTGCTGCCTTTAATTAACAGCATTGCTATAAAATCTGTAAATAACATTAGATATATGCAAAATGTACATATCTGTTTCCTAAAATTCATATATGAAAATGCCCTGCGTGTAGAAACCAGATAATTTTAATATAATTTGTGACTACACAATTGCATTGAAGGATAGAAATATTTCTGACACTTTCGGATAGTTTATTAACATGTACCATGTCAAGTCACCAATGTCATCAGAATCAAGAATTATAAAATGGAATCTACAAACCCATATTCTAATACGGGCAACACTGGATGGTACTGCAGTCTTAATTGTGTTTGTTGTTCCTATGTTGCACAGTTGACTGGAATATAGGCAACCCGAATTGCGTGACTGATCAAAATATTCCCCATCTTTTTAATGAACCTGAATATTTGTTAGTGTTTACAGTAATACGCCACTAACCTTTTCATACCCCAGATGAATTCAATCTGAATTTTCATACTCTATTAATTATTCATTTTAGTATAATTTTCCCATACGCTTACGTTTCCGGATTAATATCCTCTCTTCATAGATTCTTCCTAACAAATTTGTATACATTTATTATCACTCCCACGTGTTCTTTATGCCTTAGTCAATTCACCTCCTTGATTTTATCAGCCTGATATTTAGTAGAGAGCATAAATTGACCCTGGATATGACGCAGTGTTTGTAAAACTTTGGATAATATTTAACATTATACGCGATTCATACTCTAAAGTAAATTTGCACATAAATTATATTAATCCTCCTGATCTATGGCCTTCAATATTTAACGAGATATGCCCAAATGCATTTCAAACCGTAATGCAGTCTCGGTGAATTAAAGTCAACGAAGTTTGGTATTTGTATTTGTAACAAACTAGGGGAGACTTTATGTAGTCGCCCCAGGTAGTGAGACCACTGCTGGGTCGATTGTAAACCCCTGATGTTTTGTGGGCCATTCAAAGAGCCCTAATCGCACTTCTCGAGCCAGTACGAATCCGACTGACGCTCTCCGGCTTTAGCCATGCTGAATCGAAGACCGACGAGTGGGAAACTTACTTTGTGGACATGCCTCGTATACCCAGCCAACGCTGCTCATTGACATAGTACGTGTTAGGCGATAATGTTTGTTTGCGTGACAGGAAATCCACTTTAGAGGAATCCTAAAAGCAATCATTAGTATCATTTTATTATGAGACATCAAGAAAACACTGTCTGGCTCCATTAGTCGAGCAAGGATCTGGGAATTACCTTCGTCGGAACCACTACCAGGCCACAGACATGTACCTGTAAGCCCTAAAGCTGACGCCGTGGTCACAGTGTGTGACAGCATATATTTG